CAGGTCCATGTACACTGAGCACTCCTCCAAGCTCAGGGTCTGATCCAGGCAAATCCAGCCATCACATTGGTTAGCTAATTAACATTCCTTTCTATCTTTCTTTTGAGACAGGGTCTCTCTACATAGTCCTGGCTGTCTGGGAACTCATTATGTAGACCAGGCTGGCCTTGAACTCACAGAGATCCTCTTGCCTCTGTTTCCTGAGTGTTGAGATTAAAGGCACCACCATGCCTGGTAAGTTTTGGGGTGTTTTGAGACCAGATCCCATATAATCCTGGCTGACCTCAAACTTAATAATACAGCAAAGAATGAAATTCAACCCCTGCTCCTCTCGCTTCCACCTTTAGGGTAACCAGTGTGCAGGTGTACAAACACACACCACATCCCCCACAATTAATTTATCTCATGGATTACTTAGAGCAGGGGTCTTCTGGACAAGGAGCTGTTGTGGACACATGTATGCATGGGGAAGAGGCTGCTTTTGACCTTGTAATCCTGGCCCCTTGAGAACCTGCACTGATCCATGCTTGCAAGCAGGCACACAGCAACCCCACACATCACATAAATACCCACAGCCATCCCTGGACGCCTTATGCTGGGCCTCCCCAGTTCTCTGTCCCAGCTTCCTTGCATCCGTTTCAACTCTACCTCCTAGGCGGCTGCCATCGGGAAGTTGTGCCCACCCGCGGTGCCACCACTCACTCAGCTCTTGGCTGTCCTGCTGCCTGTGCTGGGCAGGCTTGCTCCAAAGGTATTCACAGTGTGACCCCTGTGGCTCACCTCTCCCATTCCTCCTCAGCCTCCTCAGCAGTGAGTGTGCGGTGTCGGGCCAGTGGTGTGAAATTATACCAGTTCTGCACAGGAAAGGCCTCAAAGGCACCATCGGCACACTGGGTGAAGATGTAGTAGGCTGTGTTCTCTGTCACCCCACCCTTCTTTATGCCTTTGAACCTGTGGAAAGTCACGGTCAGGTCACAACCCTACTCACAGAGCTGCCTGCACCCCCAGCTACCTCATCAGCACCTATCTGGGCTCTCCTATGAATGCCTGGGACAAAAGGGCACAGGACACAGCCTCCTTAGCTCAAATCATCACTTGGCCCTCCTCAAAGCTGCTGCTGACAGAATCTGGCCCTGCTCCCAGCCTATAACCCGCCATGGCTTCTGTGCACAGAACACTTGTCACTGGCTCCATCAGACCCCACCTCCTTTGCCATGGATGGCCCTCTCAAGGGGGTTGTCCCAAGTATTTAGACCTCATTTCGAGGCCACACTCAGGCTGCTGAGCCAGGCCAACAACACCCAGTTGGGTCAGGGCGGTGGTACTGGGACACCCCTTCTGCTGGAACATACCTGGGGAAGGTGCCCCTCAAGTGTGCACATGTGTGAGAGCGAGCACAAGCTGGCCCTCCCCACCACTGGCGCCACTCACTTCCTGCCAGATTTGCCGTTGACCCGGAGCAGCCAGGGCTGGTCCTCAGGCCGAAACTCCTTCAGGACGATGCCATACTTCTTCCGTCGTGCCTCCTCCCGCAGCTTTCGGTTGAATTCGCTGCCTGCTCCGGACTCCGGCATCTCCTCCTCCTGGTAGATCTTCTTGTTGCTCAGATCTCGCTCCAGCCGGGCCTGGGGGGGCAGCAGGCATGGCCTCTCAGAAGAACACCCTTTTGTCTCCCTGTGCTGGGTTCTGTATGCTCCCAGCATGAGGAGTGGGAGTTCATATCCCCAGGACCTTCGTGCAGCTTAGACCCCAGCAGGGAGGGACAGACAGCAAGGCCCAAGTTCAGTGGGATACCGACTCAAAAACTAATGCAGGAAGAAGGTAAGAACTGACTCCTGAAAACTGTTCTCTGATCTGCACACTGTATCCCGCACACACCTGTACCCGACAAATGTCACTGGGTAACAACGCGGAAAGTGACTACAGAAGACAGCTGATGTCACCTCCGGCCTTGACATGCACAGCATGCCCACAAGTACGTGTGCACACACAAACAACATACACATCAAGATTCTGGCCACAGGAAATGGGGAGCTCAGAAAAACAAGAAAACAGACTGGAACAGAAGACCACAGAAACACATAGGTGGCATAATGTCCCTCCGGCCTGATGCCAGACTAAGTAACCGTGCTAGCCATAAACTCCCACTGGGCTGAACCCGGCCTAGCTGTGGAGTTTTCACTCAGCCCTAATCCATCCTTTGTGTGACAGATACCTTTTGTGGAACTATGTGAACCTTGTCCGAGAGTTTCCCATGAATACAAAGCCTATGCAAAACTTGGTTTAGAGGAAACCTGGAAAACCACAGTTCCTCATGAATCAGGTATTTGCACCTGCCATTGTATTTTTTCTTTAAATATTTATTTATTTATTTATTTATTATGTATACAATGTTCTCTGTGTGTGTGTGTACGCCTGCAGGCCAGAAGAGTGCACCAGACCTCATTACAGATGGTTGTGAGCCACCATGTGGTTGCTGGGAATTGAACTCAGGACCTTTGGAAGAGCAGGCAATCCTCTTAACCTCTGAGCCATCTCTCCAGCCCTGGACACTGTCTATAGTCTCTTTGTACATGTGTTGTGTGTAACACCACACTGATGTGTGGGTTCCCACGGGTCTGTGAGTTCTACCAAAGGTCCTGAGTTCAATTCCCAGCAACCACATGGTGGCTCACAACCATCTGTAATGGGGTCTGGTGCCCTCTTCTGGCCTTCAGGCATACATGCAGAAAGAATATTGTATACATAATAAATAAATAAATAAATAAACAAACAAACAAATAAATGTTAATTTTTTTTTTTTTTAAAAAAATACCCCACCGAATTCCAGCGCTGGGGTTACAGATGCATGCTACCATACTCAGCCAACTACTATCTCTGCCTCAGCCTCCTCCAGACAGCTGGAATTGCACAACTGCTGGGTTATAGGTGTAGCCACCATTTCAGGAAACTGATTACTGCAACCAGCAGCCCGCCAGGTCCCTGCCCCGCCGCACAGAAGGACAGACTCACCTGGTTCCAGGTAGCAAAGTTGACCTTGTCCGCTGCATTAAAAGCCATAATGTTGTACTTTTTGGTTGTATTCCTGGAATGGACAAGACAATTCAACAAATCCACCACGACTGCTGCACGGTTGTAGGTAATGCTGGGAACTCATAGAAGATTCCGGAGCAGTGGTTCTCAGCCTTCCAAACGCTGCGACCCTTTAACACAGCTGCTCACGCTGTGGCGACCCCAGCCATGCAATTATTTTTGTTGCTCTTCACAGCTGTAATTTTGCTACGGATCGTAATGCAAATATCTGTGCTTTCCAATGGTCTTAGACAACACCCCTGAGAGGATCACTTGACCCCCGAGGGGTTGCGGCCCATAGGTTGAGAACCACTGCTCCAGAGTTTCCCTGTCTAAGAAGCTGGATCCATCTCCTCCAACTCAGAAAGAGTGAGCCAGATCCACGGGCACCAAACATGCTCACAGTGCATATCTGTACACCTAGACAAGACATTCATAAAGAATAATAAAGCTTTAAGAAAAAGTGGGCCAAAGGTGTGAAAGACCCCTATTGTAGAGAGGGGCGCAAACAGGCAAGGAGTGAAGGCAGATGGGTCTTGGTAGGTTCAAGCCCAGCCTGGTCAAATCAGCTAGGACTGTCTACACAGTAAGGCTAACTTCAAGAGCCCGGATAGTTCAGTTGGTAGAGCATCAGACTTTTAATCTGAGGGTCCAGGGTTCAAGTCCCTGTTCAGGCGGAAGTTGTTTTAGACACTCATACACTCATGCTGCCGGGCAGTTTAATCCCAGCACTCGGGAAGCACAAAGACAGGTTCCTTAGCTACAGAGAAACCCTGTCTCGAAAAGCATCTTCAACATAAAGGGGGCTTGCCTAACTAGCATACACCTAAGATTGGAGTTGAAGGATATCGCACTCTTAACAGATGTATAACATCTGTGACTTGCTCGGTGTGTGTGTGTGTGTTGTGTGTGTTTTACGATAGAGGATTTCTCTGTGTACTCCTGGCTGTCCTGAAAACTCGCTATGTAGCCCAGGCTGGCCTCGAACTCAGAGATCCCCCTGCCTCCGCCTCCCGAGTGCTGGGATTAAAGGCGGCCACCATGTCTGGCCTGAGCGTCTGAAACAGGACAAAGTGGCCGACGCTGACATCAACTAAGGTGTGATTGCTACTGAGGCATGGGCGGGAAGCCAGCCGAGGAGTGTGTGGCGTGGGTGACTTACTTGGGGACACGGACGACATACTCGGTGACATTCTGGTTGCCGGGGCCCTGCAGAGGATGCACGGGTCTGTGAGGCGAGGAGAGGTCGCGGATCTGTCCTGCGACCCCCCAATTCCCGCCTCATCCATACTCACTATAGCCGCCATGGCCGTTGTTCAAGTGGTTCCGGGTCGACCTGGCCCGGATTCTTCGTGATGTCCCTGGGTCCGGGGAAGGCAACTTCCGTGTCGCGTTAGTAGGATCTTGTGTTTCTGATCTCCAAACCCTTAAGTCTCAGAAAAAGCTGGGAGAGTTTTAAAAAAAACAAAAACAAAAAAACCCTCTCGGCGCGTACGTTACAGCCTGCCCCGGAAGTAGAACTGCCACTCTGACGGCAGTTACTTCAGTATCCACTTGGGCTTCGCCTCCAACCTCGGAGAGGAATGAAGCCGCCTGCAGCCGGCGTTCTCTTCTATAGCGTGAATGATTGACTCACGGCGCGTGGCCACGCCCTCCGTGGCGTCACGGCGCAGACACCGCGGGGCGTCCTGGGTAGGGTGGGAACGGCGTTCTAGGCGCTCTCGCGCGCGCGTCGAGGGCGCGTTACCGTAGCAACCGCGGCCGGCTCCGCGGTGGGGGGGCTCTCGGGGCGCCTCCGGGGTGGGCGTGGGATTCCGTTTCCTCTGCGTCCCCGTGCCGAGGGAGTCCCGGGGATCTTGCAGCATGAGCCCCTTGTGACGCAGAGCGGAGCCGAGGGCTCAGGGGTGGGGCGCAGACGGGGTCTCGCGCAGCCCGGCCTGCGGACGGGATGGGTCTGTGTGAGTCCACGCTGCCCCAGACGGGCAGAGCTCTGAGGCCCCAGGAGAAGGGTAACGCGGGGAAGGGGGCGTGGGAGGGGCAGGAGTCCTCGCCGTCAGGTGTGCACACTCTAACAGAGCAGAGGCGCAGCTGCGCATGCCCCCGCCCCACCGTTGTTGGTGCCTTTGGGAGATAACTTGAAGGGTAGCGAAGCCAGTCTCCGAAATGGCAATTACAACTCTAGAGGGAGCGCTCAGAGAAAGGGAGTCAGCGGGACGCATAGGAGTTCGTTAAGCGGGGCTGCGGGAAGACACAGATGTGGAACCATAAACTCCTGACTCCACAGATCGTCTAGTAGCCGAGACATTGCTTTCTTCGCCATCAGAGGCCGTGCGCCCTGCGTCAGAGGCTGACTAGGAGGACCAACGCGAGGGAAAGGGGGAAAGAACCATGGCTGACTGAGGGTCTGAGGCAGGGAGAGGAAAGGGCTGAGATGCAAGCAGGCGGGATAGACAGCAGCACCCCACGGTGGGCGGACAGGGTGCGGCTGGGTGAGTTTGAGGACCTTTCCTTTCCCTTTCTTCATCTGTAAAATGGGGTGGTGGAGTTCCTGAGGTGCTCCGAGGAGGTTTGTGCAAATGGCTCAAGAGAATCCCAGCGGTGCGAATCCCTTCGATGCGAGGCCACGGTCCCTAAAGACGCGCACTAGTACCCGCTCTGTCTTCCCTGAACACCATAGATGTCCTGAAGTCCCTCCTGATCATCTTCGTGGTGGGCGGCCCCGGCTGCGGGAAAGGGACCCAGTGCAGAAACATGGCCACCAAGTACGGCTTCTGCCATGTGGGGTTGGGCCAGCTGCTGCGGGAGGAGGCTCAGAGGAGCACCAAACGGGGCCGGAAGATCCGGGACATCATGCAGCAGGGACTTCTGGTGCCCACGGTGAGAGTTCAAGGGAAAGGGGGGCACAGCAGGACAGAGTCCCCACGACACCAGGGTGTCCTGACTAGCCACTGCCTTGTCATGCTGATGTCATGAGAAGCTGTGATGTGGGGCGGGTTAAGGGCGTCTGTTGCTCCAGCCCAGGACCCACGTGGTGGCTCACAACTGTAACTCTAGTTCCAGGGGATCTGACGCCTTCGTCTAGCCTGAGGGCTCTGCACACATGCACAGACATCCATGTAGACATGGATAAATAAATAAAACTCTACCCCCAAAAAAGTCATGTTAAGGGCTGTGGCGGAGGTCAGTTGGCAGAGCGCTCACCTAGCATGCACAAAACCCTGGGTCCCATCCCCAGTACCACAGAAACTGGGTGCACACTGGACAACCCAGCACTCAGGAGGTAGAGTCAGGAGGATGAGGAGTTTGGTGGTATCATGCCTACAGAAAGAGTCCATGCCAAGGACCAGAGAGATGGCACTGTGGGTGAAGGTACTTGCAGCCAAGTCTGACAACCTAGCTCAGTCCCTGGGGCCTCTGTGATGGAAGGAGAGAACCCCCTGCTCTAAGTTGTGACCCCCACACATGCTGTGGGATGTGCGCCATCCCTCCACAACTAGATACATTTTTTTTTTTAGTTTGTTTTTTTTTTTTTTTTTTTTTTTTTTTTTTTTTTTTAGTTTTTCGAGACAGGGTTTCTCTGTAGCTTTGGAGCCTGTCCTGGCACTAGCTCTTGTAGATCAGGCTGGCCTCGAACTCACAGAGATCCACCTGCCTCTGCCTCCCGAGTGCTGGGATTAAAGGCGTGCGCCACCACCGCCCGGCTAACTAGATATATAATAAAGAGATCTAGTAAACTTTGTTTTTGAGACAGGGTTTCTCTGTGTAGCCCTGTGTACTGGAGCTCTGGAGACCAGGCTGGTCTGGAACTCGGAGATCGCATCCAAGTGCCTCTACCTTCTAAGTGCTGGGATTAAAGGTGTGAGCCTCCACCACCCAACAATATCTAATAAACTTTTAAGAGTGCAGCCTTGAGCCTGGTGCTTCTTTAGTCCCAGCATTTGAGAGGAAGAGGCAGTTGGATCTCTGCGAGTTTGAGGCCAGCCCAGTCGATGAGTTCTATGATGGCCAGGGCTGCACAGAACAAATGAAAACCTACAAGCAGAAAGGAAGCTAGTGATGAAGGTGCTGGGTTCTGCTTCCATCTCCTGTGAAGTTCAAACTGAATGGCCTCCGCAGCACCTGGCCTCTCAGGGTGGCGGGGCCTGCGCACTGAGTCCCGAGTCCTTGCACTTTCCTTCCCAGGGTCTCATTCTGGACATGGTCAGTGACAGCCTGTTGTCTTGTCCAGAGAGCAGCGGTTTTGTCATCGATGGCTTCCCTAGAGAGCTGGAACAAGCCAAAGAGTTTGAGCGAATTGTGAGTGTCCCGACCCCACAATGTCTGAGATGTGCGTGCCCGCGTGGAGGTTCCAGGCTACCCCCCCTCCGCCCGACCCCCCTCCTCCTCTTAAAGCCCGAAAGGATGATGCCTGAGGGTCTGAGGCTGGGAGACCTCCTTTCTTTCAGCTCTCATAGCCTAGGCTGCTCTCAAACTCACAACTCAGACAGGCTGACCCTTAAGTCCTAACTTCCTGCCTCTGCCTTTCGGGTGCGGATGGCAGCCCCGTGCCACCAGAGGGTTGGAACCCAGGCAGGGCTGCGTGCTAGGCAAACCCTCTGCCTGCCCGGACCGTGCCCAGCCTCCTCATGTGCAGTAAGGGTCAGAAGCGGGGATACATGGAGGCGTAGGCCTGGACGCCCAGCACTGGGAGCCTGTGAGGCAGGAGTATTGTGGTTTCCAGGCCAGCCCAGGCTACATGTAGAGTTCAGCTGTCTCAGACAAACAATAAAAATTGAACAAAACAGGTTGCATTCTAGAGGGCTCAGTAGTTAAGAGCAGTAACTGTTCTTTAGCTCAGTTCCCTACGTGGTGGCTCACAACCACCTGCAACTCCAGTTTTAAGGGACCCGACGCCCTCTTCTGGCCCCGACAGGCTTCTGTGTGTATGGTGCACATAAACTCACCCAGGGAAAGCTTATACACATACATTTTTGTTCGTTTATCGAAATAGGGTTTCTCTGTGTAGCTCAGGCTAGTCTCAAACTCTGAGATCCACCTGCCTCTACCTCCCGAGTGCTGGGATTAAAGGCGTGTGCCGCCACCACCTGGTTCACACACATGCACACACAAATATTTGTGGAAGGCACAATTGGCCTCCACACTTGGATGCTGGTGGTGCAAGCTGATGGAAGAATCCAGAGAGTGAATTTACCCATGCAGAGAGTTGCCAATGAGCTCAGTAAGCATTCCCACTGCTGTTGCCATGGGGACGTGCAGGCCCCATGTTCCCAAGCCAGTGGTTTTATGAGAAGCTGGGAGCTTTGCTACAGAAGTAGCATCCCTGCCCCTTGTTTAAATATCGTCAGATCCTTAACATGTGAAGCTGTGTAACCCAAAGGGAACTGTAGGCTGGGAGTCAGGGTGGAGCAGCCTCAGTCCTCAGTGTCTCATGGCCTCCAGCTCTCTTTCTTTCTCTTTCTTTTCTTTCCCTCCTTCCTTCCTTTTTTTTTTTTTTTCCTGGAACTTGCTCTGTAGTCCAGGCTGGCCTCAAACTCACAGAGATCTGCCTGCCTCTGCCTCCTGAGTGCTGGGATTAAAGGCATGTGCCACCACCGCCTGGATTTGGCCTCCACCTTTTAAGTTCCCAAGGGTAACATTGATGTTGATGCCTGTGCCTCCACTTCCCCAGTGTTGGGAGGACAGCGAGACATCTGGCTGGCTTTGTTTTTTTTTTTTTTTTCTGGAGACAGTGTCTCTCTGTGTGGCCAGGCTGGCCAGGAAGTCTCTGCAGTCCTCCTGCCTAGGCCCACTGAATGCCAGGAACACAGACGTGAAACATCACAGCAAGCTGCTGGCTGGACAGTAGCAGTTAATTCTTTTTTTCAGATATTCAAATTTATGCATGTGAGTATTTTGTTTGCATGTCTGTATGCCCACTACAGATGTGCCTGGCTCCCGCCTTTGAGGTCTGGTTCTGAAGCTGGCATCAGGTCCCCTGGAACTAGACTTAGAATGGTTGTGAGCCTTCATGAGGATGAGGTCCTCTCCAAGGACACAAGCACTCTACCACTGAGCCCTAACCATGGTTGCACTCGACGATACCTACACAGAATAAAGTCTTTGTCTTAAAGACCTGAAGATTGAAGCCTGGTGGTGCTCTGACACCCCCAAAGTCCCCAAGAGAGGGGCTGAGATGCAGCTCAGGGGTGGAGCCCCTGCTTACAATCACGCAATGAGTGGCTGGGGGCGTGGTCAGGGTGGAGCCCCGCCTAGAATCCCCAGTGAGGACTAAGAATGTGCCTTAAGTATAGATTTCTTGCCAAGCAGCGGTGGTGCACGCCTTTAATCCCAGCCCTCAGAGGCAGAGGCAGGTGCTGATCTCTTTGAGTTTGAGGCTAGCCTGGTCTACAAAGTTCTAGGACAGCCAAGGCTACACAGAGAATACTTCCTTTCTCAAAATAAGAGAGAAAGAAGGAGGGAGGAAGGAGAGATTTTGGCTGAAAAGATGACTCAGTAGTTAAGAACACTCAATGCTCTTTCAGAGGACTTGAGTTCAATTCCCAGCACCCACTTCAGGTGATTCCCAACTGCCTGCACCTCACTCCTCTGTGGGTACCAGTGTTCACTCATGTGTAGCACACACATATACACGTAGTTTAAAAAAGAATGAAGAGTGGGCTGGAGAGACAGAAGTTAAGAACACTGCCTGCTCTTCCAAAATCCTGAGTTCAATTTTCAGCAACTACATGGTGGCTCATAGCCACCTATAAGGAGATTTGGTGCCCTATTATGGCATGTAGGCAAACATGCAGACAGAACACTGTATACATAATAAATAAATCTAAAATAAAAGGATGAAGAGGGACCAGTGAGATGTCTCAGCTGGTAAAGTGCTGCCACCAAGCCTGGAGAGAGAAGGGGGGGAGGGAGGGAGGGAGGGAGGGAGGGAGGGAGGGAGGGAGGGAGGGAGGGAGGGAGGGGGGGAGGGGCCCATGGAGGGACAGAGGAAGGGCAGAGAACCGTCACCCTTTCCGTGTTTGTCTTACATGCTCTGCACATGCAATGCCCACTACTGCAAATCGAGCCTTGGCTTGGGTGGGGGTGGGCTTGGAGGGCAGAGCGCTGGCTTCCTATATTCAAAGTCCTGAGCTCCATCCCCAGAGCCTGTGTAGAAGTGAACCCCATTACTGTCAGCTCAAGGATGTGTGGAAGACCTGCCATCCCAGCACTGGTCTGGGGAAGTGGGAGCAGGACAACTGGGGTTCAAGGACAGTGTGGGCTTTTTTTTTTCTTTTTTTTTTTTTTTTTTTTTTTGGTTTTTCGAGACAGGATTTCTCTGTAGCTTTGGTGCCTGTCCTGGAACTAGCTCTTGTAGACCAGGCTGG